CCCGATCTTTTCGTTTCTTTTTTTTATTTTTTTTTTCAAAGTCGAATCGAGTTAAAATCGAGTTGAGTCAAATCAAGTCGAGTTTAAAATTTGTATAACTCGAATCAAATCAAATTAAAAGATTTTATAAAATAAATTTGACTCAACTCGACTTGAAAAAAGAGAGTCGAGTCGAGTTGATCTTTAAACTCGACTCGACTCGACTCGACTCATTCGGAACTCTACCCCTGTATATTAAGTTTTCTTTTTTTTTCTTCTTTTTAAATATATAAGAAATGTTTCATAATGAAACATTTTTTTCTCTTTTTATTATAGAATGCCAGTTTTACAAAATTGTATAAACTAGTTAGTATTTTTATTTCTTTAAAAAAAATACTTTAAGAAATATTTTTTAACAAAATATTTTATTTCCTTTTTTTAACTTATAGTGCTAGCTTTACAAAAATGGATAAACCAGTCTTTCAAAAGGTATATATATGAATTTTTATCAATTAAATGTTAAGAAATATTTTCTAACATTTTTTTATTTTTAGAATGCATTAAGGTTATTTGTTAAAATTGAACTAATTGAGACTATGCCTCAACTATTAATAATGAAATAAGCAAAATAAGATAATGAAACTACTAGAATAGATAGATTTAGATAGATTTAGATAAATTTAATTAGTTTAGATAAATTAATTGTATTAATATAATAAACATTTTAAAATAAATTAATAAATTCTAGTTACTATATACTATTTTCGTATTAATTAATACATTAATAAATATTATTTACGTATTTTTCAATTATATTATTTACTATATGCTATTGTTTAACACTTAAATTGAGTTACATAACATATTTTAAATGACGTTGTTTTACTCTATATGTTACTCTACATTTAAATAGTATTGATCTATATGATTTTAAATGATATCAGTTTATAAAGGGTTTATTACTCAATACTTTATGACGTTGAGTAACACATGACATTATTTAATATATTAAATATCCTTCAAAATTTTCTAATGTATAATAAAATATTTACTCACATTCATACCCTAAATCTTTTATTTTTTATTTCTTTTTTTAGATACACATCATGAATAATAAAGAAGAAATTTACCTTAAATTTTTTTTTTATTTTAAAATTTGTCAAAATCGTTATAATATATAAAATAAAATTTATAATAAGATAATTTTAGTGTAATAAAAAAACTTCGTAATATGATATACTGAATATTCGTTATATTATACTAAATATTTTGCTATAGTATTAATGAATTTTCTTATGACAAAAACCTATTTAGTTCAGACACTTACTTTATTATATCAAATGTTAACTATATGTTATATTATATTATAAATGTTTAATTTATTTTAATAAAATATTTCATAAAAAGCTAATTTTTAATAAAAAGTTTATGACATATTTTGAGAAATCATAAAGATTATTCTTTTTTTTTTTAGTTATTTTTTCTTATAATCTCTTGCAAGTTTTAATATGTTAAAGTCTTTAAAGAAAAATAGCTTAAAAAAAAATATCTTAAAGAGTATAGACTTATAAGACTATCATAAATAAAAGTTCAGTTATATACTCTTTTATTAAAAATTAATTATAACCTTTTGTAAAGTTAGACCTTAACTTTTATATATTGTAATAGACTATATAAAACAAATAAGAACTTATAAGCATAAGTAAGCTTTTTTTTTATTATTCTAACTATATCTAATTATCAAAATTAGAATAAGTCTTTTACCTTTTATATTAATAATAGCTAGGTTAGAATAGTTATCAAATTCTATTAGAATGGCAATAGAAAGTAAAGGTAAAGATTTTTCAAATACAATTTTCAAATTATACCTATTAAACAATTAATTAAACTTAGAGTTTTGAATAAATTGAGTTAACTTACAAGTCAGATAAGCTGAATCAAATTTAAATCAAGTCAAGTTTATGTTTTTTTGACTCAATGATTTGTGAATCATGCTAAATTCAAATCAAGTTAAATATTTAACTTGATTCAATTTAAACTTAACTTGACTCAAATTGACTCAAGTTGATTTGAAATAATATTATTTTTAATTTTTTTCGATTCTAAATTTTATTTATTTATTTTTTTTCTGATCTTTTATTTTAGTTTTTAATTTTATCTTTTTATTTTTTAATTAATTTTTTTATTTATTTTTTTAAATTTTTGATTTTTTTGATTTTTTTCAATCCTTTTTTTTATTTTATTATTTTTAAGTTTTTTTTATTTTATTTCCTTTTCCCTGATCTTTTCTTTTCTTTTTTTTTCGTCTTTTAATTTTTTTTTTATTTTTATTATTTTTTTAATTTTTATTTAAATTTTTTTTTAAGTTTTTTTATTATTTTCCCTCCCTTTTCTCTCCTTCTTCCCTTTCCCTTAATCTTTTTTTTTCGTCTTTTAATTTTTTTATTTTTATTTTTTTAATTTTTTTTAATTTTTTTCTATTTTAATTTATTTTTATTATTTCCTTTTCTTTCCCCTTTCTGATGTTTTCATTTTACTTTTTTATTATTTTTTTATTTAATTTACTTTCTTTTTTTTAGAAGCAGATTTTTCATTTTCACGAATAAGAATGAATATAAATTTTTTTATATTAAATGTTTATAAATTAATTTAAAATTAACTTAAAACTTGATTTGAACTTGACTCAACTTGAATAAATTCAAGTCAAAATCGAGTCAAGTTAAACTCAAGTTGAGTCAAATTGAGTCAAATTGAGTTGAGTTTAAAATTTATATAACTCAAATCAAATCATTTTGAAAGATTTTATAAAATAAATTTGACTTGACTCAACTCAAAAAAATGAGTCAAATCAAGTTGATCTTTAAACTCAACTTAACTTGACTTATTCAGAATTCTAATTAAACTAACTTTTATCTATAAGTTAACTTTAAGTATAATCTTTACACCCTTTATCAAAAATAATTGAGACTTAAGTTTTTTAGTATTATTTGAATTAGCTTTATTTGTTTCTATATTATTTATATAAATAATATTGATTTTAGTTTAAAGAGCTAAGCTTATTAATATTAAATTCAGCAATGTTAAACTTTTGAGACAAGACTAAGGTTGCTTGTCTAAACTCATTTTGGATTTGATAAAACGTCTAAATTATAATTTTGCTAATTTTTTACTAAGGTTTTGATAACATAGCAGAAATGCTTAATTTTATCACATTTTGTTGATCAATTTACTGATCATTTTTCATTTATATTATATATAAAATGCCATAAATCAACATATTTTTTAAGTTAATTTACTCCGATCTGAAAATCATACATAATAATATATGTTAAAATTTTATAAGTAGCTGCATTTTAATATAGTAGAATAACATTATAATAAATTTTTTCGATTTTGCTGGATATTTTACGAAACAGATACAAATAATTTTATATAAAGGCTTATTGGCTTCAGGACCGAGGTGTCATTAAGAATATTTGAGGGTCCGGATGCTTTGTTATCAGATAAGTGTTTAATTAAAGAAAGAAAATTTTGAAAATTATGATAATTTATTAATGCTATATATAAATTTTATTAGTTTTCAACAATTCAATTGTATATTTATGATATATACAATTTGATTATTTGATTTTTAATAAGCTATATAATCGAAATGCTAAAATAATGTGTTTTAATTCCTTGCTATACTTTGATTGCATTGTTTTGATCCTTTCTACTAATTAGAGAACCTTATTTTTGATTTAGAAACATATTCATTGATTTCTTTGTCATTTAATTCCTGAGGGCAATCACCTACAAAAATTTAAAAAGAATATCTATTAGAACGTAAAATAAAATTAACCAAAAACGAGCACGTGATTCCGTTAATACCAAGGAATTGTCTAATCAATAATCTTGTATCTGATTGAGCCTCTAATGTACTATCAATGGGTTCGATCAGCTTTATCATTATACTATAAAAATCTTTCGAATAAGGTGGTCCACTCATTTGAACAACCTAAATAATTTAAAGAAAAGAAAATTTACATAGTTAATTAAAGCAAATCTACAACATTCATACGCAAAGAGCATAATACGAATCATTTT